AAAATTTTTATAGAATTTTTAAAATTCTTTCGGATGGCCAAAAACAGATTTTCATGTATATTTCTTGTTGTTCTGACTTTCTTTAACATACATTTCAATTTCTTCATCGTACTAGCTGTCGGGTTTCTTAAATCGACTCTGGTTGCAATTGCATTCCGATTGCGAATACCATTTTTTTCAGCCGAATTAAGTTCATATCATTGGAATTAACTAAATTAATTATATCAACAGTTATTTACTTCCTTTTTTCATAAAAAATCGCTCGTGTTTATAAATTTTTAAATTTAACGAACTAATTTATTCAAATTATTGTAGACAAAAATGCAACCATGCGAAACAACCACCTTTTTTTCGTGTTTGCAAATTCTTGCTGGCAAAATTTTTTCCAGCAAGAATTTGCAACTTCTCTCCAAGAGAACTGTCACTTTGCTCTCACAATTTTTGAGTGTTGGATAATTTTTTGGTCTGCACGAACGCGATTTGGGCAAAAATCGTGATAATTCGTACAAATTCGTACAAATTTTTTGCTCGACGAACAAACCTAATGTCATGCAGCGGTCACTCATAAAAAGTTCATTGCAGGACATTGTCGCTTGAATATCATTAATGATCACTGCATGGCAAAGTCATGCAGATGCCATCAACGACTAAATTACCATTTGTATGAAAAAAGTAAGTGCGCCTGGGCCACACTGTAGAAGTGAAACTTACGTTACTTATCTATCTATACATACACACATATGCTTTTGCTTAAGGTTATATTTTTCGATTTTTTTCTATCAATGTAGATCCCTACCTCTACCACTGTTCGTTTTAATAACATTCATGTTTTAACAAATCTTTTATTTTAAAAATGTGATCTTGTTATAATATAGTTTTAAAACCAAGGATGAATATAATACCTTAAAAGGGTAATAATAAATAACACAAATCACTTATATAATAGTGATGTACAAACAATTTTCTTTAAAAATACGCATGCTTTTTAAAAGTATTTGTTTCCACACATTGTGCAATAGTGCTGCGCAATTATTAAATTTTGTATACCTCATATTAATTGATTAATCGCACAATCCGCTTTTAAGAGCTAAAAGTTAAATAAAAACCTATAATAAGGCGAGATCATCTATTTCCACAATTTTGTAAAATCACCTGTAGTGTCTAAATTATTTACATTTCTGTTGTCATATATTGAACTATTCAACCTTGATAACGTACTGTTTGATGTTGGAAACGTTGTGCAGCAGCCTTTATATAACACTTTATTCGAACTATTGAATTAAGTAAGGCTTTCCAACCTCATCCTATTTCAAACCTTAGTTTTTTTTGAATTCATTACGGAAAAAACGCGCTCCACAGATCATGAGAGTGCGGAAAGGATAATAATAATATGAATTTATTTCCAAACATTTTATTGACTGTTGCGGTTTTTACTCCTTAAGTAATTATCCAAAATTCTTCAGAGTCTGATGGAATGGTTCTGAGAAGAGTTATTAAATGGGAAAGTTAAAAGATTTAAATATTGATTTTCCGCTGCTATTCTTGCCTTCAAAGTCAAATAGTGAATTGGCAGGTCCCTGAAACTCGCCCTCTTGTGATTCACACACTTTTATGGTGGCAGAATCAAAGCTTTTTTAAAATTATTTAATTGACTAGGTAATCGTTTCAAAAGTTCTTCGATTAGGGTGATTAAACATTTTTTACAGTGTTTTAATATGCTTATTAAGTCAAGATTATCACGCACTGCATTAGCCTGTTCTGTAAAATTATCGTGGAATACTCAGTTTTGTATAGTTTTATAATTGGAAAAATTGTATTTGAAAGGGAAAAATCGCCAATGGCGATTTCCTAAATTTTTACGCGCAAATATCCAAAAAAAAATCGCCCAACTGGCGCGAAATTGCCAAATTTGTATCGCTTTTCTGTAACTCTTCTTTACCGATCATTTATCTACTAATAGAGAATATACGTCATTCTCTACCACGATTGAGAGAATACAAAGGTTGCGCCCACGATTGAGAGAATACAAAGGTTGCGCCGATCTCGGACCGCTATTCCTCTCTTAACGAATTTGACAGAATCGCTGTTTGCATGACGTCACACTGGTGCAACTTGTTTACGTTTTCCTTGCAACATTTTTTCTTCTTCTTCCATTCTTGCTCACGTTTTGGCATTTCTCTCTCGCAATTGCACCAGTGTGACGTCACACACAAGTTATTCTCAAAAATCCTCTCCGATCGGCGCAATCTTGTATTCTATCATTCTTGGGTTGCGCCGATCTCGGACCGCTGTTCCTCTCTTAACGAATTTGACAGAACCGTTGTTTGCATGACGTCACACTGGTGCTACTTGCTTACGTTTTCCTTGCAACATTTTTTCTTCTTCTTCCGTTCTTGCTCACGTTTTGGCATTTCTCTCTCTTCAATTGCACCAGTGGGACGTCACACAAAAGTTATTCTCAAAAATCCTCTCTGATCGGCGCAATCTTGTATTCTATCCAAGAATGATAGAATACACGATTGCGCCAATGAGAGAGGATTTTTGAGCGTAATTTTTGCGTGACGTCATCTTGGTGCAATTGCGAGAGAGAAATGCCAAAACGCATATAAAAATATGTAAACAATGCAGAAAAATGTGTTAATTTTAATATTACATGGCCCAATTTTGCAGGAATCAATAAATATACAAAGATTGATTAATTAGGAACACGTAGCAATAATTTTGGACATGTAGCCCTTTAGATAAGTACGATTTTTAGCACATGAAAAAATGGATGTATTAACAGTGTTTGCAATTTCATGTAGACCAAAAGGAAGGTGTGTAGCAAAGTGAATTTTTGGACTTGCCATTTTAAAAAGCCATGCAGAGTGCATATTTATATTTGTGGACGGTAGCCAACCACCATAAACTCCACAGCTGTTGACTCCACAGCTTTTATTTGATGACTTTTGTACCATTTCCGAGAGGATGCATGAGTGTGGCTTTTTTGGAAGCAAATATTCTATGTCAGTAAAACATAATTTAAGCTGAACTTTGAAATGTATAATAATTTGGGCACTGTCTTGTATTAGGTACGTAACAGCGCGGTAAGATGCCGCTTGAATTAGCGCCTGGCGACCTTATCCACTGGTGCATTACCTCTTACCAGCACTAAAAGAATCAGGTACTAACAAAAATAAGTAGGTAGTGAATCTATTCATGTATCTATTTACTGTAGAAACTGCTTTTGTATATATGCCATTGCCAGCAAACTAAACCAGCAACTGTCTACATTCAAGATGGAAATATACCTACTACAATTCACCAAGAAAAGGCCAACATAGTTCCATATAGAAGCTCATAGCTCACACACTAGCACAAAGCTCGATTTGGTTTTTAATGCATGTCCTCGCCGGCTGAACTGCTTGCACTTTTTCGCCAGGTTTGCGTCCGTAGGAAACGAAAAAAAACTTATATCGCACGCTTTCCTTTTGTTTTCACTATTACACTTTGCCACTGCACACTTCATTTTGCTTTTTAATGTCTCAATAATTGTTTAAAACCGCGCAGAAATATTAAAGCACAAATATTAAAATTGTTATTTGGTTTTTTCGTATGCTCACATTCAACAATTGCACCAAGATGACGTCACGCACACAGCTCATTCTGTCAAAATCACAAAGAGCGGATTAGCGGTACCGCGATTGGCGCAATCTCTATTTCTCTCAATCGTGTATTCTATCATTCTTGATTCTCGACTACTCATTAGCAGTAGAGAACAGGGCGGCGAATTCATATCTCACTTCGCTTTGGTAGAGAATTGTTACAGAAACGATCTACTGGACACCCTGCCACCTTGCATAAAAAAGCCTTGATGTGGTGATTGTTGATGGCACTTTGCATAAATTCGCCTGGGCTTTAGCGTCGAAGCGAGACCGCCTGAAAAGCTTGTTATGGAGTTCTACTTTAAGTAGCTGGCAAGTGTGTTAAATTGACAATTATTGATTTAAGAAGATAGATGGCACCCCCGCCAATAAAACCAAAATAAACTAAGAACGTCGTTGTGGAGGAATTATTTTGAGTAAAAAAAATTTGGTTGCAATTTTTCATAGAAAAATCGGAAACAAAAATGGTTCACATACCTGAGGTGTTGTTTTATAGTCATAAAATTGATTAAATAGCGAAGGCGTAAGAAGGTTCGTTGTATTACATTTTAACAAATTTTTATAAAAAGGCATAAAAATAAGAAGGCTTACAACCAGGTAAATAAATTGTCAGCATGATAATCATCTCGTTCGACATGCAATTTAATTAAAATTTTCTTGTATAAGCATTATAACTAACCATAATCTTAATTGATTATAGGCAATAGCTGCTATATCCAAGTCAGGCTCTTAGTACCATTTGGGCCAAGGAAATAGCGTTGATAATAAAGTGAGTAAGATAATGCTAGGGTCGCGCTGGTCGCTTTACCAATACGATTTGGACGATTTGCGACGCACTAATGCTACGGCGTTGATTCTCGACCGCCAATATGGAAGCCTTGATCGATATGTGCAACGGCGACTGCACGTATCATCTGCATATATTGATCGCCTCGAACAAGAGACAATATTACGGGGTCACCAAGGTTGCGTAAATTGCCTTGAATGGAGCAGCACTGGAAGTATTTTAGCTTCTGGATCAGATGATTTTTGCGTGATGCTATGGGATCCATTTCGAAAACGTTGTATACGTAGCATACCAACCAAACACTGTGGGAATATATTTTCCGTTAAGTTTTTACCACGACACAATGATGCATTGATAGCGACTGGAGCAGCAGACAGATTCATATATGTGTTTGATGTGAATCGACATAATGAAGCAATACTAAGCTGTAGCTGTCACGTAGCCCGCGTGAAACGATTAGCAACGGCACCAGACTCACCTTTTGTGTTTTGGTCGGCTGGCGAAGATGGTGCAATATTACAGCTAGACACTAGGGAGCAACACCGTTGTAGCGCAGAAGAAAATCGTGTACGATTGTTAAACCTTACCACCTATGTAGATACAAATTCAGAGGCCAAATGCCTAGCAATAAATCCACGTCGAACAGAACTGTTGGCAGTTGGTGCAAATGACCCTTACGCCCGGATCTATGATCGGCGCATGCTTCATCCAGTTTCGTCACACACTAGCGGAGGTAACGGCTTGCTTGTAAATGGAGGTACGTTAAACTACAAATTTTTGTTAATAAAAATGTAGTACATATATGCAAATTATTTGTATAGATTCAATAGATGGAGCAATACCTAAGGACTGCGTTACATATTATTGCCCAGGTCACATCAGTAAAGAGAATTCTAAACTAATCGAGCACGACTCTCGTGCCATAACGTACCTTACCTTTAATTCATCCGGAACCGAGTTGCTGGTGAATATGGGTGGTGAACATATATATCTTTATGACTTGCTGCATGCAGAACAACCAGTGTTCCTGAGTTTGCCGGAATACAAACCACCCCCATCTAGTTCAGATTCAGATATAGAAATGACAAGCATGCACCCACAATATAGTAGTAGTATCGAAAATCAAGGAGGCGATGAAAACAGTGGAGCCTTGCATAATGCGGTTAGTCCAGGCGATGCTACACAGTCCAGCAATCGACGAAAATTACCCGAATACATTGAACGCTATAAGAAAATGGGTAATGATTTTCTAGAAAATGAGAAATACTTGCGAGCTGTTGAAAAATACTCCGAAGCGATTGAAATGGCCCCGAATTGTTCAGTGCTCTATCTGAACCGTGCAACCGCATACATGCGTCGCCTTTGGTTCGGCGATGTATATGCTGCATTGCGCGATTGCCATCAAGCGTTACGCCTCGATCCATCCTACATTAAGGCACATTTTCGCTTGGCACGTGCACTACTCGTGCTCGGCAGACCGCAAGAAGCCGATGAGTGCCTAAAAGAGCTAATCATTCGTTTTCCCAGCTACGCAAATAACCATGGCATCATGATGCTTCACAAAGATATCAAAGAAAATCGGCAAATGACACAATCTCAGCAGCAGCAACAGCATGTAAGTGATCAACAACACTACAATTGCTTAGAACGCACCGATGCTGAATATCAATGGCGAAGCAAAGCAAAGGACTATAGTAAACGATTCGTGGGCCACTGCAATACTACAACAGACATAAAAGAAGCTAATTATTTTGGGAAAGATGGAGAATATATTGTAGCTGGTTCTGATAATGAGAGCTTTTTTATTTGGGAGCGTAATACTGGAAAGATACGAGCAATCTATAAGGCAGACGTCTCAATTGTTAATTGTGTGCAGCCGCATCCAGAAATTTGTTTGCTCGCCACCAGCGGCATCGACCATGACATTAAAATATGGTCGCCAATTGCAGCATCGCCCGATGAACGACCCAATTTAGTAGAATATGTCGACAAGACTGTTGAAGACAATCAACAAAAGATGAAAATGGATCCGTTTAATATGAACGCAGGCATGAATGCATTCTGCCTTAATTCATAATATGTGATAGTTATCGTTATTGTAGTGGTGAACAAAAATTCAACACATGTGTGTCAGCAGTGCACGGGCCGGGTTCTAGATTTCTCTGGACACGATTTCATTTGTCCAATTCATAGATCCTGTATTATTTCCAAAACCTCTCGAATTACAGTTTATTTACTTCACCAATTAAAAATTATAACTTTTTAAATATTTCTGTGGATATATTTTTATTTATAAATTCTTTCAACACCGAGCTTTATATAAAACTGACCTTTATTTAAATTTATATTCCATTATTTTTGTTCGACTGGCAAAACTTTAAAGAATTTGGTCCTACTGTCGGAGAATTAATTGCTTGCAGGTGTTATAATGCTGCAGTAATTTATACATAAACATATGATAATACATATATTTAAACACTTAGCAGTACGGCAAGCGTCCCACAAAACTTCGCTAATCAAATTAGAAAGAATAATCAAAATAAAAATGATTAAAAACTTAATACAACCACCTATTAATAAGCAATTTTTACAAATGTGTGTATGTATTTTGAATCATGCCTTATACACAGTTCAGCAAACGTGTAAACATCCGATAGTTTTTCCTATGAGTAGGGTGGCATTGGTATTGATATTCAAGACGGGCTTTTTAATGTTTTTTGTTTTGTTGCTGTAGCGGATACCTAGCCTTGCCTAGAATCGGTTAATTATTTAATCGTTGTCGTCAAGCTCAAATAACGATAGGTCTCAGGATCATTGCGAGTGTCGTGTCGATTGGAGTCGTTTTTCGAGAGTCGAGTCGTATCGAAAACTGTACGGCATTGCCCACAATTTCGCCTCGACTAGTGTATTAAAACGAAAAACTTGGGAGCACTGGATAGTTTTCGACAATTTTCGTCGTCTACTTATCTCAGCACGCCACACATTGTTTCGACCACGACAGTCGGGTCTACGTAACCGGAACGACCCAGATTTATATCTGGCCAAGGACTGTCACTCCAGCAACACTCCCCAAAAACCCTTTGGGGAACTTGTATGCTGCTACAACAACAACAACCATATGGTAGCAGGTGGAAATAATAGTAAACCTGCACCGATTTCACTGAAACTTGACATGTGGTCTAGTTTTACTTAGAAATAGAGAATTATGAAATTTTGTAGAGAGGGAATAATTACCACGCCCTCTACTCTTGTGGGCGGAAGCATTAAATTTCATCCGATTTCGATGAAATTTAGTTTGTAGTCTTTATTTTATTAGAAAAACCTAAATATAAAATATGGGAAAGATTGGATCACTATAACGTCCAAAACTCACAAAAAATATGGGCCCAGTCATTAAATGTGATGGAATTTTGGTTAATTTTTGTGTCCTGCTTTTCACTCTCAGAAAACAAAGGTTATACTATAAAATGACTTAGGTGTAAATAATACCCGCTTTTTTCCGATTGTTTGGTGAGATTTTGTAAAAAAGAAGCTGAAAATCAAAAATTACATATATTTGCAAAGTCGCGCGTAAAGATCAAATTATATATTCGGAAACTACATAAAATTCTCTAAAACATTCGTCCAATTTCAAGATCTGACGGACCGGTACTCACACTTTTTTTACTAATAATCTTTAGCATCTACATTTCAAAGTAAATTTTTTGGTAAGAAAATAAGAAAGTACCAAATAATGATAAATACCATCACCTGAAAATTCCACGACATTTAAATAATTGATTACAGTTGAAAAAGAAACTCTTTAATGGGTTAATCGCCAAAGGCAACTAAACTGATTAGTCGGTATCGCGCCCATTCCCGTATTTTTTTGGAAATGTATCGTTCGTGAAGCGGGGTTAGTAAATAATGTAAAATTTGGTATTTATGACTTTTACTTTTCCCCTCTAAGTCCAACTGGTTTTTTTTTTTTATCAACTGTCATCTTGACTTTTTTCTACCTGCCTCCATATAGGAGAAACACTGTGCGGCATCGCCCATGCTGGCAGGTCGTGCAATTTAATCTAATTTTCGACTTGCGCAATGAGGCCGACTTAGTGTTGTTGTTGTTGTAACGGCTACTTAGCCCTGCCTACATCGGCTTGTCCCTGAATCGTTGTCAAGCTCAACTAACGGGAGACCCAGGAAGTATGCGACGTCAACAGAGTTGGTCCATAGGTAGAGGGGCGTTAATTTTGTGGGTTTTAGGGGGCATACGTATAGGTATTGCGGGTCGTGAGGTGACTCTCCGCATGCCGGGCACTCATTGGGCACCCTACTATGAACTGCTTACAAAGCATTGCAGCAATACAAATTATCCAAAGACTTTTTGTGGAGTGATGCTGCAGTGACAGTCCTTGGCCAGATATATGCACATACATAAATTTGGGTCGTTGCGGTTACGTAGACCCAACTGTCGCGTCCTGCTAGTCCCCCGTGACCTCACAGGCGCTGCATAGTTTAGAGCCGGTCAGTTGTTGTAGTTGTTGTTGTAGCGGCTACAACAACCCCGCCCAGATCGGTTGATATCTCAGTCGTTGTCGTCAAGTTCCACTAACGGCAGCCCTGCTGCAGTATCCAGAGCAAAGTTGGGCTATTGGGGTTCTTGTCTCCCGAGGCAGATGAAGCTCCGTCGCGTCAATGTCCGGTGGTTGTGTGCCTAGAACGGCATGCACAGGTCTAGAGTCTATATAACTCGAGACTGAGTCCCTGTGAATGCCGTTCAGGGCCTGTCGGTATGCTGACGGGTCCAAGGACTGCTTAATGAACCTCTGGACTTCGTCCGTAGATGCCTCCTGACGTGCCTAGGCGAGGGCTCCTCTGCAGGCAGCTGTCTGTTTGGGTGGCCACATCTGTGGCTCCCGACCAGAAACTGCTTGCAGAGCATTAAGTTATTCTCCTTGATTGGGAGCATTTTCGCCTCGTCATGAAGGTGGTGTTCAGGCGACATCAGGAGGCATCCGGTCGCTGTCCTGAGTGCGGTGTTCTGTGTTGTCTGTAGCTTCATCCACTGCGTCCTACTAGTCCCCGGCGAACACAGGGTGCTGCGTAGTTTAAAACCGGCCGGCGTATTGCCTTGTATGTTGCCAGCAACGTTTCTTTGTCTTTGCCCCAAGTACTGCCGGCTAGCGACTTGAGGACCTTGTTGCGGCTCTGTACTTTGTTGACAATAGCGGTTGCGTGCGCAGAGAAGGAGAGCAGGCTGTCGAATGCTACTCCGAGTACTTTGGGGTTATTCACCGTCTGAATTGGTGTATCATTGACGTGAATTCCCAGCGGTAGCCTGACCTTCTTCGTCCAGGTGGTGATCAAGGTCGCAGAGGATTTCGTAGGGGAGAGGGCTAGACACTTTGCAGTGAAGAAGCGAGAAAGCTCGGAGAGACATCGGTTTACTTTCGAACACAGGTCATCAATTCCATTCCCAGTCGCCATGATCGAGCAATCGTCGGCGTAGGAGACAATCGAGACTCCCTCTGGTGGTTGAGGGAGCTTTGGGGTTATTCACCGTCGGAATTGGTGTATCATCGACGTGAATTCCCAGCGGTAGTCTGACCTCCTTCGTCCAGGTGGTGCACAAGGTCGCAGAGGATTTCATAGGGGAGAGGGCTAGACACTTTGCAGTGAAGAAGCGAGAAAGCTCGGAGAGATACCCGTTTACTTTCAAACACAAGTCATCAATTCCATTCCCAGTCGCCATGATCGAGCAATCGTCGGCGTAAGAGACAATCGACAATTGCTGTTGAATTGCTGTGCAACTTCGTCTCTTGGACCGCAGCTATCAGTATACCATGCCTTCCCATGAAGACGGTTATTTTCTCGACCTTGCTCTGAAGCCCGCTACAGTTAAATTGGAGGAGCTTCATGTGGTTCGGGAGACGTGTAGTAATGCGGGGTGTGAGAGATGTGTGTGGCCTTGACGCCATGGGCTGTGTGCGCTGCTGTGGTGGTTGCTGCCCTGTGGTGGTAGTGGGTGGCGTCGCAGTTGGGGTTTGTAACCGTGCAGCGCAACACGCGCCCTCGAAGTTCCTCGTCCAACCTCGCGTGGTGCGCATACCTGAACATGCCCTAAAGTGGCACCAGCCAAGATAGGTGTTGCACTTGACTGATGCCACATTACGTAATATCCTGGTCTGGCATACCGTGCAGATTGTAGGAGGAACCAAGAGTTGTTGGCGGAGGGGTGTGGGTGGTGGTGCGGTTGCGTGTATACTGTGGTCTGTCGTGGTCTATTGTGTTGTTATGTTGTTGTGCTGAGGTGTCTGTGTGGTGCTGCTCAGGTGGACTAGGGTTAGCCGTGGAGGCTGCTCTGTTTGAGCAGCAGGGGGCCACAAACGACGTGATCCACTGCCGATGTGTCCGTAATCCTGAGCAGACTCTGAGGTGACTCTACCCCTCGCAAGCATTGCACTTGACTGAGGTGGAGTTGTGGTGTAGTCGTCTCTGGCATACACAGCAGGTGTAGGTTTCTGGCCCTGGGTTTGACTCGATGCCAGCCCTGAGCAAAAGAAAACGTAGCGAATGTAGCCCTATGGACAAACAACTTCTTAGATACATCGCCGACCTAAAAGGGGTTAGATCGCCCTTGGTCTGGTAAAACCCGAGTCATTCCGGTACGTAGAACCGGCTGTCGTGGGAACGAGCCGGTCAGTCAAATGCCTTGCATGTAGACAACAACGTTTCTTTGTCTTACGGCTAGCGACTTGAGGTCCTTATTTTGGTTATGTACTCTATTGAAAATTGCGGACGAGGAGTAGAGAAGTCTATTGAAAGTAACTCGAAGTATTTTTGGGTTATCTACAGTCGGAATTGGTTCGTCATCGACGTGAATTCTGACCTTCTTCGTCCAGCTGGTATTTCCAGCCGAGAATTTCGTAGGGTAAAGAAGCAAGAAAGTTCGGAGGGGTAACAGTTTACTTCCCGGCGCAAGTCTTATATTCCATACTCGGACGCTATTATCGTGCCGTCGTCACATAAGAGACAATAGAGACTCCCTCTGGTGGTTGAGGAAGGTTTTAAATGTAAAAATTAAACAGGACTTGAGAGAAACCATGCTGGGTGTCAGGTGTTATGGAAAGTGCAGTTTTTGCAAAACCGCCCATCGACCAGTAACAAAACCGCCCAAATCGCCATTGTGGCAAAAATTAGATTTGGTAATCCTGAACTCCAGGCATCGAGATTTATGCATAAAAATTGTTAAATCGTTATTAAAACAACAGATTTGTAAAATAATAGCTAG